TTTGAGAGCGTTGAGCCTCTCCCTACACTGACGCGCCCGTCTGGCTACAACGTGATCCTACAGCATGACGTCTATGGAGGACACAAGGAAATGTATATATGCTCATTAGCACTGAAAATGTGCTAAACATTTACAGTGATTATAGAAAAATATCGATTACAGAAAATATTATATATAAATATAAATAATGACAGTGGCAGACCACGGAGGAAAAATGAAACAGGAATTTCCTTAAGTACTTTCGTATATTAATACATCTTCAGAAGGAGTCAAGGAGTCAAAATGTATTAATATACGAAAGTACTTAAGGAAATTCCTGTTTCAATTTTCCTCCGTGGTCTGACATTTTCATTATTTTTAATCACGTTTATTTTTCATGATTTACACACAAATTATTATATATATATATATATATATATATATATATATATATATATATATATATATATATATATATATATATATATATATCTGAATGTGGTTAGAGTCATGCAGAGAGCCATCATGCAGCTGCATCTTGTGAACAGCTCCACTCTGTCTGGCTGGACGCTGATTGGGGAACTTTGTTTTCTCAGCTGAGATGACTAAGCCTAGATTCTAATAATGTGTGTCTAACAGAGTTATTAATATTTAGGGTGAGAAAATTCGTAGGAGCTGTGATAAGGATTCGAACCTCTGAACTGGGTGTTCCCAGGTACACGCTCTACACGACTAGACCAAGACATGGTCAAAAGGATTGCAACCTGGGGTACTACTGCACCCACGAGGGTTCCTCGAGGCTTCCATTGAACCCGAACCAGGATCTTCACACTATCCCCCCGCGCCTGACAGCTGAGTGGACAGCGCTTCGGATTCGTAATCCTGAGGTTCCGGGTTCGATCCCCGGTGGAGGCGGAGACAAATGGGCAAAATGTTTCTTTCATCCTGATGCTTCTGTTCACCTAGCCTGGGAGCTAGGTACCTGGGAGTTAGACAGCTGCTACGGGCTGCTTCCTGGGAGGGGGTGTAACAAAAAGGAGGCCTGGTCTAGGACCGGGCCGCAGGGACGTTAAGCCCCGAAATCATATTAAGATAACAATCAAGATATCAAGATCAAGATAACCTCCCCATACAGTCCGACTCTGTCATCTAGGAATGTTCTACCTCTGACGCTCCTCTTTCAATACACACAAGAGCCTGTCTCTAATCCTTCTGACCATGTCCTCGTCTAGTCGTATAGAACGTGTGCCTGGGAGTACCCAGCACATAGGTTCGAGTCCTCGTCACAGCTCCTCCAGATGTTCTCACTGAAGCAGTCACGTTAGTGTGATTACTGTGTAACATTTATTGTGTTGATATGTGGAGTGGTATGGATCATTATCAGCATTGTTAATGTGATCGTCGCTGGGCCGCTTAGGCAGTGTTCAGGGTACATTGATTAATGAATTAAATATGTTAGGACTGAGGACACCTTATGGAGTGCCTAGTTCATGATCTCTTGAGACGTTCCTATGCTCTTAGAGCGGTACAGATGAATTCCTGCTGGATAAATAACTTGATGCATTCTGGGATGTTCACTCAGTGACATGCCGGTTAACAATGTCAAACCCTCTTTCACATCAAGGAAAGCAGCATACGATTTGTCAGTATGTCAGGTGAGGAAGATGGTAACACAATGAGAGACACTCCTTCCATGCGTGAAGCCATGTATCTGGGGAGGCAAGAATGTTTCTAATTGCATGAAAGAGACGCTTTAGAACCTTCTTCCCAAGAGTCATACAATGACAACTGGTAAGGAATACTGGGCGAAAGGCACTCTGCTGGTTAGGTTTAGGAATGGCAATCCTGAGACTGGCTCCCTACATAAGGAAGCTCCCAGGTTACATAGCCCATGTGCTACAATTAAAGCAAGAGGATTTATTTCCTGGTGCTAGAAGAAGCAAACGCAGTGTATGGAAAGTGATTCCGGCCTTCGCGGGAGGTGTGGCTTTAGCTTTACATAGGGCAGAGTTGACTTCGAATTCAGTGAAACGCATGGAACATTCGAGAAGACAATCGATTTGAGAATGGTCCAGGACGGACCGAAACGTCGTCGTCCCTTCACTTTCTAGTGTGTGGTTTGGTCAACGCATGTAACAGTTCTCTTCCTGGTGGATCTTGCCTTGATCCACCAATGAAGTCAAGGAGACCCTCTCTACCGTCATAACTAATATTTGGATTATTCTGTGTGGCAAGAGGGAGACCTGCTTAAGCTAGACGCCATGGTCCAAGTATGAACCTACCCATCTGCTCTGTTTAAGAAATGAGCGTGTGAGACCTGTACCGTATTTTGACCCTTAATTTTGATATCCTTCCAGCGGGCTGCGAGAGTTGACGCCACTGACAAAGGTCTGACAGTGTGGATGCCTCGGCTCTATCATATCTTCCACTGACGTAGCCAGGGCCATCTGAATGCCTTTAGCACATCAGGTGTATGAGTTCTATACACAGTCCAGTTCTCATACACACAGGCGTTGTGGCAGTTCTCCTTCCACCATCTCGTGGGTGGTGGTGGACCCCATACCCATCCTGTGGGTGGTGGTGGACCCCATACCCATCCCTTGGGTGGTGGTGGACCCCATACCCATCCCGTGGGTAGTGGTGGACCCCATACCCATCCCTTGGGTGGTGGTGGACCCCATACCCATCCCGTGGGTAGTGGTGGACCCCATACCCATCCCATGAGCGCTGCTTGAAAGGGTTTCAGAGGCAGTGCTAGGTTTATTCAATATCCTATTGCATGTAATGAAGCAACAGTGAAATAGGCCTTTGCCCTCGGTTTCATTATTGTTGCAAGCATTGTATAAGGTGCCAGATACCTACTGTGACACCTTAGTAGTTATACCTACTTTGTGATCAAATCATATATAATAATATTATTGTTTCTATTAATATTATCACAGCTTTAGAAAATGTATAGTCAAGACAATTTCCATCATGGCCGCGGCTACAGGGCAGCCGAGTGGATTACCCGGTATGGAGCCGACAGATCGCCCAGGGGCGGTGCGGGGATATTAATATGGCGTTTATTAAGACAGTGATGTTCTAACCATGAAAGGCTTCACTCTGTCATGGGCGAGAGAGGAACTCAATCTCCTTCATCCTTCCCGCCCATCTCCCTTAATCTCCACAATCCTGAAGGTCTCGTCGGATATACGCATTTGTGTGTTCTCAAACATTGCGCTCCTGAGAGTAACGCAACTTTTAAAGGCAATTTATGAGACACTGGTGTACACACACACAGATCACACTAACGTGATGCATCAAATGAACAAATCCACAAGGGCCGTGACGAGGATTCGAACCTGCGTCCGGGAGCATCCCGGGATGTCTGTCTGTCTGTCTGTCTGGGATGTCTGGGATGCTCCCGGACGCAGGTTCGAATCCTTGTCACGGCCCTTGTGGATTTGTACACTGGTGTAGTTAATGTTCTATAATTCTGGTCACTAATTCCGGAGTGACCCAATATGCTAAAGAAAACGTTATTCTAAACTGAACTCATCCAGGAGGAACTCTTTCTATAGTGAAGTACTGGACAGAATGTGAGGTCTAGTACTCATATTTGGACGTTATTCATAAGAAATTCTGATGACACTATAACGACAGGTCTAGTGTCAGCGAGGCGTCGAGGATATGACACGACCTACCCAGGGAGCGAGGGTATGGGTGAAGGTAGGACCTACCCAGAGGTGCAGTGCCAATTTGATAGGTGCCGGACCTCTGCTGGGCCTGACAAAAGCCTGTCATTTCCTATCCTGTTTCTTATATATGAACATGAAATGGTGTTTACCTTCCTTATCACTTTCACATTTCAAGTGAACTATCAAGGCTTATCATGAGAATATAAATTTTACCATTTATCTGCTTGACATGCTGGCAAATTGTCTTTTTCATTTTAATGGCCGTGTGATTAATTATCTCTGTGGCACTAGGGCGGGAATGCCGTCCCATCCCAATGTCAACACCATCAATACCACAAGCCAGAGTGATCAGAGTTTGGTCTGTCATTCTGAGCTAAATAATATGGAGAATACAAAATTGTCTTCAGAGGCGAAGCATTCATGGCATCACACAATTGTCCAAGAGCATCTTCACCAGCAACATTTTCAACACATACAGGCGAGGAGTCACAATAACGTGGCAGAAGTATGTTGACCAGACCACACACTAGAAGGTGAAGGGACGACGACGTTTCAGTCCGTCCTGGACCATTCTCAAGTCGATTGTGACTTGTGGAAATCCTTGTTGCTCTCATAGCAAGTAGCAATGCTTCTCCCGGCCCAGACTGTATCACTATACGTCTACTACTTCTCAAGTCGATTGTGACTTGAGAATGGTCCAGGACGGACCGAAACGTCGTCGTCCCTTCACCTTCTAGTGTGTGGTCTGGTCAACATTTTCAACACATAAAGCAGCAGTGTGAGCTTTCCATAGTTTATGATCAACAATGTTTTGTCTGAGAGACTTCAAGCGTGTACTTGGATCTGCTCCTTAATAGTGTACTTGGTACATCTGCCACTCATTTGATAGTCTTAAACCCTTAGAAGTTAAAAGTGTTACATTGTTTATGTTTGTACATACAGTACTTTACACCCAAGATTATGTTGGGTGTCTATGAATGGATAAGAAGCGTTCACGTGCCTCGGGTATTGTGTTTCCAGAATTGTACCAGGACAATTCACCTTGCTTACTTTTTAAATACACAAAAAATTTAATAATACAGAAAAAAACGAAGAAATATCACAACATTATTAACTTATAAATGATGTTATACCAATATCTTCCTGCCACGATCAATTATCACCCATAAGTCATCCTCTCTCCCTTTCCCCTCACCCCCTCTCCCTTTCCCTTCATCCTCTCTGCCTTTCCCTTCATTCTCTCTCCCTATCCCCCATTCCACCATTCACTTACAGAGGTGCGGGAGCGGCGCCCCGGGCAGCTCCGGCAGCACCGCACCACTGACCTTCACCTTCACCTACCTGAAGTTTGGTGAGGACCTCCTCGTGGGCGTGGAGAAGCTGCGTGGCCTCCTCCAAGTTGGCGCCGAGGTACACCATGCCTGGCGTCAGTTCCACCACCCGCAGCTCCAACCATTCTGCACTCTGAAACACCACAACCACATCTTATAGTCACCTCTGTGGTGCACTTCCTGCCTCCACAACTATCATATCTTATTAACTATGCTCTACACTCTATAAACTTATAAACCCAGGCTTGTAAAGCTGTTCACAGGAGATGCTCTCTCACCCACAGGGTTATAAACTCATGGAACCGCCTACCCGACCATTCTGTAAATGCCGAAATACTTACATTTTAAAATCCAGCTGGAAAAAATTATCACGCCAAATTGAGACGCCTTTGACAAGCCGCCGGCTTTGTCCTCGTCGAGGCCACTAGTGTGTTAGTGGCCCTCTTGTGAATATATATATATATATATATATATATATTATATATATAATATATATATATTATATAATATATATAAAAAGTTATAAAAATCTTATGACAACCATAAATGAAAAATATTATTTTAACAATACAAATTGTGATAAATTTCAGAAGGAAAGACGTAACGTATACCTCGGACATTACCGCTCAGATCACACACCAACCATCACAATTCGAATATTTAAATAATCTCACGTAAAATGCTGCCCGTGCAGCCACACACACACACACACACACACACACACACACACACAGACACAGACACAGACACAGACACAGACACACACACACACACACACATTTATGTCTCTCCTACTCTGACAGGGTGAGATATCTGGTAGAGAAACTAATGTGTTATTAAGCACTTAACCACTGAAGGTGATTAAGATGCTTTTACAAGCTCAGGTTATATAGTTGCATCACATACAGTGTATGTCTGCCTGCCTGCCTGCCTGCCTGCCTGCCTGCCTGCCTGCCTGCCAGCCAGCCTGCCTGCCTGCCTGCCTGCCTGCCAGCCAGCCAGCCTGCCTGCCTGCCTGCCTGCCTGCCAGCCAGCCAGCCTGCCTGCCAGCCAGCCAGCCTGCCTGCCTGCCTGCCTGCCTGCCAGCCAGCCAGCCTGCCTGCCTGCCTGCCTGCCTGCCAGCCAGCCAGCCTGCCTGCCTGCCTGCCTGCCTGCCAGCCAGCCAGCCAGCCTGCCTGCCTGCCTGCCTGCCAGCCAGCCAGCCTGCCTGCCTGCCTGCCTGCCAGCCAGCCAGCCTGCCTGCCTGCCTGCCTGCCAGCCAGCCAGCCAGCCTGCCTGCCTGCCTGCCTGCCTGCCAGCCAGCCAGCCTGCCTGCCTGCCAGCCAGCCAGCCAGCCTGCCTGCCTGCCTGCCAGCCAGCCAGCCAGCCAGCCAGCCAGCCAGCCAGCCTGCCTGCCTGCCTGCCTGCCTGCCTGCCTGCCTGCCAGCCAGCCAGCCAGCCTGCCTGCCTGCCAGCCAGCCAGCCAGCCAGCCAGCCAGCCAGTCAGCCTGCCTGCGGTTTGTTATGGCCTCACTCACCTCTGTTATTTTAGATGTACCTACTCAGAACGAAACGTCCATGTAGCACGGGCTATGGTGAGCCCGTAATCACTCCTCACCTACTGAGGCTTTACACAACTATCAAGGTGAACTGATCTTCCCTCCTCACCCCCCCCCCCACACACACACACAGGAGGAGGGGCCCTCACACCTACACACACACAGGAGGAGGGGGCCCTCACACCTACACACACACAGGAGGAGGGGGCCCTCACACCTACACACACACACAGGAGGGGGCCCTCACACCTACACACACACAGGAGGAGGGGGCCCTCACACCTACACACACACACAGGAGGGGGCCCTCACACCTACACACACACAGGAGGAGGGGGCCCTCACACCTACACACACACGAGGAGGAGGGGGCCCTCACACCTACACACACACAGGAGGAGGGGCCCTCACACCTACACACACACACAGGAGGGGGCCCTCACACCTACACACACACAGGAGGAGGGGGCCCTCACACCTACACACACACAGGAGGAGGGGGCCCTCACACCTACACACACACAGGAGGAGGGGGCCCTCACACCTACACACACACACAGGAGGGGGCCCTCACACCTACACACACACAAGAGGAGGGGGCCCTCACACCTACACACACACACAGGAGGAGGGGCCCTCACACCTACACACACACACAAGGAGGGGCCCTCACACCTACACACACACAGGAGGAGGGGGCCCTCACACCTACACACACACAGGAGGAGGGGGCCCTCACACCTACACACACACACAGGAGGAGGGGGCCCTCACACCTACACACACACAGGAGGAGGGGGCCCTCACACCTACACACACACAGGAGGAGGGGGCCCTCACACCTACACACACACACAGGAGGAGGGACCCTCACACCTACACACACACAGGAGGAGGGGCCCTCACACCTACACACACACAGGAGGAGGGGGCCCTCACACCTACACACACACAGGAGGAGGGGGCCCTCACACCTACACACACACAGGAGGAGGGGCCCTCACACCTACACACACACACACAGGAGGAGGGGCCCTCACACCTACACACACACAGGAGGAGGGGGCCCTCACACCTACACACACACACAGGAGGGGCCCTCACACCTACACACACACACAAGGAGGGGCCCTCACACCTACACACACACAGGAGGAGGGGGCCCTCACACCTACAGGAGGAGGGGGCCCTCACACCTACACACACACAGGAGGAGGGGCCCTCACACCTACACACACACACACAGGAGGAGGGGCCCTCACACCTACACACACACACACAGGAGGAGGGGGCCCTCACACCTACACACACACAGGAGGAGGGGCCCTCACACCTACACACACACAGGAGGAGGGGCCCTCACACCTACACACACACAGGAGGAGGGGCCCTCACACCTACACACACACACACAGGAGGAGGGGGCCCTCACACCTACACACACACAGGAGGAGGGGGCCCTCACACCTACACACCCACCAAGGGGTGAACACCCCGCCTGTACCAGCAACAAAATATTGCACAATAAAAGTGAACATAAAGTCTCCCCCACAACAGCACAACGGCAAAAGCCAGAGTCACTATGTCCCCGCGGGATATTATACCAGAGGGGTCAACACCCTCAGAGTATGATCATTAACTATTCGAGATAGTGATCACAACAGCGTATAGCTGGTATTGATTGTGATGTGACCACATGCCAACAGTGTCTCGTCTACGTCTGTTGTGGAGGACAACAGAGATGGTCAACAGGAAAACGGGACAAGGAATTCGGGAGGAATTATTAAGAATAGCAGTACAAGGTGAAAATGTTGTTGATCTTGATACTCTGAAATGAATCATGAAATGAGGCTCGTAGTGTATGATATATTTACTATAATAAACCATTTTAGTTAATCGAGAACCCCGACACACACCGACAACCCCGACACACACCGACAACCCCGACACACACCGACAACCCCGACACACACCGACAACCCCGACACACACCGACAACCCCGACACACACCGACAACCCCGACAACCTCGACAACCCCGACACACACCGACAACCCCGACACACACCGACAACCCCGACACACACCGACAACCCCGACACACACCGACAACCTCGACAACCCCGACACACACCGACACACACCGACAACCCCGACACACACCGACAACCCCGACACACACCGACAACCTCGACACACACCGACAACCCCGACACACACCGACAACCCCGACACACACCGACAACCCCGACACACACCGACAACCCCGACACACACCGACAACCCCGACACACACCGACAACCCCGACACACACCGACAACCCCGGCGCACACCGACAACCCCGACGCACACCGACAACCCCGACGCACACCGACAACCCCGACACACACCGACAACCCCGACGCACACCGACAACCCCGACAACCGACACACACCGACAACCCCGACACACACCGACAACCCCGACAACCTCGACACACACCGACAACCCCGACACACACCGACAACCCCGACACACACCGACAACCCCGACAACCGACACACACCGACAACCCCGACACACACCGACAACCCCGACAACCTCGACACACACCGACAACCCCGACACACACCGACAACCCCGACACACACCGACAACCCCGACACACACCGACAACCCCGACACACACCGACAACCCCGACAACCTCGACACACACCGACAACCCCGACACACACCGACAACCTCGACACACACACCGACAACCCCGACAACCCCGACACACACCGACAACCCCGACACACACCGACAACCGACACACACCGACAACCGACACACACCGACAACCCCGACAACCGACACACACCGACAACCCCCTCCATGGGACCTGAGAGAATAATCACCATTAAACCACTCAAGGTGAAAGTGACTCTTCAGCTAACATGACTGACTGACCGACCCGACCCAAGTGAAAGTTCACTTGACGGGGGTAATAAAAGTTAAGAGAAAGTTGCTTGTGCAAGGTCATAATATGGGACCCTGGACTTGCTGGAGTCATAATATGGGACCCTGGACTTGCTGGAGTCATAATATGGGACCCTGGACTTGCTGGAGTCATAATATGGGACCCTGGACTTGCTGGAGTCATAATATGGGACCCTGGACTTGCTGGAGTCATAATATGGGACCCTGGACTTGCTGGAGTCATAATATGGGACCCTGGACTTGCTGGAGTCATAATATGGGACCCTGGACTTGCTGGAGTCATAATATGGGACCCTGGACTTGCTGGAGTCATAATATGGGACCCTGGACTTGCTGGAGTCATAATATGGGACCCTGGACTTGCTGGAGTCATAATATGGGACCCTGGACTTGCTGGAGTCATAATATGGGACCCTGGACTTGCTGGAGTCATAATATGGGACCCTGGACTTGCTGGAGTCATAATATGGGACCCTGGACTTGCTGGAGTCATAATATGGGATCCTGGACTTGCTGGAGTCATAATATGGGATCCTGGACTTGCTGGAGTCATAATATGGGACCCTGGACTTGCTGGAGACGGACGTCATATGGGACCCTGGACTTGCTGGAGACGGTCATAATATGGGCCC